ATAAGAAATCCGGTAATTTTAATATTTTAGGACCTGGAGGTATTGTTTAACCTCAACACGGATCTCTTCCTCCCGCGACCTCCGTGCGACCTGGAACAACGACGGCCGTACCCACACCCGGTCAAAGAAAATCGAGTGACTGCAATACCTAAACCCACGGGATTAGATCCTCTCACAATTCTTCAAGAAAGAGAAAACAGGTATAATTGGCATTATTAGCTGTTAGAATTTTTATCACGTGACATTTCGTGACAATTAACATTTTGCTTTGCTTCAACTTTGTAGGAAAGCAGCTCGGATCGCAATGAAAATCGACGGTAATAAATTACCGGATTATTACGGCATAATAAAAAAACCTTTGGATATAAAGAAAATTTTTAACAGGATAGATGATGGAAAAGTAAGCTGGGGGGGGAAGGGGAGGAGGGAATCACGTTAGAAACTGCCGTTAATGTAAAAGCATACAAGTGAACCAAACGTCAAGGTTTGAGGGAAGCAAGAGCAACTGAAAAACTTGAGAAACAGCAAAAATTAGAAGCGGAAAGAAAGGTAATCAATCATTGACCTAATGACCTCTCTTCCTCTCCCTCTCTCTCTTTCTCTCTCTCGTGTTTAACTTTTGGTTTTTTTGTTTTAGCGATGAAAGAATTCTCAGCGAACCGTTCATGAAATTACCTTCTAAAAATAAATTACCGGATTATTACGACATAATAAAAAAACCTTTGGATATAAAGAAAATATTTAACAGGATAGAAGATGGAAAAGTAAGCTGGGGGGAGGAGGTGGAGGGGAAAGTTTCATTCTGACTCTTGTCGTTGTTGTTTCAGTATTCGGATTTTGACGATTTGGAAAAGGATTTTACTCAAATGTGTAAAAATGCTCAAATACACAACGAAGAAGCTTCTCTCATACACGAAGATTCGATCGTCCTTCAATCCGTGTTTACGAACGCGAGACAAAGATTGGAACAGGATGAGGATAAAGGTGATGAGAGAATCGCATAAAAAAGGATTTTGTTCGTTGAATTTTATTTATTTTG